GTAAACTTTGGCAGTAGGAGATGGTGGGTCCCAGATATTTCGTTAATTGACTGCAGAAATTTTGTTAATTGACTGGTTGTGCCTCCACGTGTATTGAGGTAATTGAAAGTGATTCTTTTTTGTTATTTCTAGTATGATACCATGCCAATATATGCTGTCACATCTTATTGGTTTGTACCCTTTTCAATATTGCAGCATGAGCAGCAATGAGTAGTCGTCCAATAGCGACACTTCCAGTGAAGGACCGAGCGTGGTGAACTTGGTGAAGGCAGCTGTCGTGCTAAGAAGGTTGAAAGGCTTGCTAGCGCAACAACGTCCTGCGGTAAATCCTCCTTGTCCCATACCCAAGCTCACCGGCGTGCAATGGATGAAACTTACTCTTGACAACCCCACAAAATGCATAGACAATTTGCATATGTCCCGTGATGCCTTCATGCATTTGCATAACATGTTGCTTCCGTTTGGGCTGCCATCTACATACAAGTGTAGTTCCGTTGAAGCTTTAGGAATGTATGTCTGGACTTGTGCCCACCAGTCTGCTAGTAGAGAATGCAAAGATAGATTTGAAAGGTCGTTAGATATGGTTAATAGGAAGGTAACTACACTAGCAGAGGTTATGTATAGGTGGGCATAGACTATACTAGTTCCAGCAGATAGGAACTGCCCACGAGTCAGCCAGAAACGTGCTGAATATGCACCATGGTTTGATGGGTGCATAGGTGCTATAGATGGTACCCACATAAAGGTTGAGGTTAATCAGGAAGCCAAAGCTGACTTCTTCAATAGGAAAGGAGAAACTTCAATTAATGTTTGCTCCATTGTGGATATGGATGTCCGCTTCACCTATGTGGGTGCCGTGAAGGCGGGAGCATGTCATGACATGGCGGTCCTAAAAGACTGTCAGGCCGATGAATGGTTCCCACATCCACCCGCAGGTTCGTGATGACTTGCAAATATCTTTGATGCAGCATGTGTGTAGGTAGTTGGCAGGACATTGTTGGCACTAATTATGGAATTATTTCAATTTTTGTAGGCCGCTACTACCTGGCAGACGCGGGATACACGGAGAGTCAAGGATACATGACTCCTTTCCGGAATACAAGGTACCATATAAACGACTTTAGGGGTGTAGAGTTGGAGATGTTAGAACACGAGAAGAAATTTAACTACATTCACGCACGCGAGGTCGCATGTATGTAATTGAAAGAAGATTTGGGGGCTCAAAGAATGGTGGCATATTCTGGAACGGGTTCCTTACTTCGCGAGGAAAAGGCAAGCGATGATTATCATATCATGCTTTGCAATGGATAATTATTTGTGGCTGCATAAGTATGGACATAATGCACCGTCGTATGAGCTGTCCGAGTGGGTGGTTCTAAATAGTGGAACCCAAACAACTACAGTAAGGGAGTTGATATTAGCTGTAGTGTGGAGTGGAATATGATTGAGGGAAGGTGATGTAATGAACCTACTTTACTACTTGAATTTAAGTTAGGTATTTAATGAATGCATTATGTGTGGGCCAAGATTTGTTAACCCTAGTGTATGTTGTAATCTTTTGTTATATGGATTGAACAAATAGAGTGTCATTTGTTGGGTATTTGTAACGAACTGTCATTTGGTAGCTACGAACTAGAAGCAGATCCTGTTGAGTAAATGCATGTATCATCTGTACAACGTAATTAACTGAATGGGCCAAGATTATTTCATCCTTTTCTAGTTCCTTAATTTAATCTTGTGTTATTTTATTAAGTTTATACTACAATCAATTATCCAATATAGCTCAGATTAGTAATTTACATTGTAAGTGATAATAAAAGATATTGTTGTTTGCTCATATGTGGTGTTCTTGATTTTGCAGCCACTTCCAGAAACTGTAGCCACTAGTGAAGGACATTGCTTTGCTGAATATGTCACCGATCCGTAAGTTTATTTTGTGAACTTATGTGTGAGAGTGGAAGGAAAATGACCCACACCAGATCATTCATTCATGTAACCTGTGAGCTGTACATACATGTTTGCAATTTCTATGCGAGATGTAGTAGCCCTCTTGAATGCTTTGCTTGTTTTGCTTTAACTATGGCAAAGTTATGATATACTTTTTGCACAAAGCGAGGCATATTGTATCTGCTTTAGATGCATCATACAGGGGACAAGCATATCATGTCGTGCTTCTATTTTGGCAACTGGTGTTAGTAGATTGTCCTTCCTTTAATTTGAGCACCTTCATTTGTACATCCATCTCTTTATGTTTTATTTGAGCTGTGAAATTCTATTTCTGGTGTCAGCAATCCATTATTCTTGTTTGAGGCATGCACATTATACTTTTACTTCTTTGTTATATTTGAGCTGTGAAGAACACTTAGGCAGACATAATTATTGGCCTACTGTTACTTCCTTTGTACAGGTTGTTGTTATGCCTGCTTAGAAGATGCATAGTAGGGGTCGAGAACTGGATAACACAACTTGGATGCCTTCTTTTGATTTTTGATTGTTTTGTATGTATCTGGTGCTCTGAATCGAAGAAAATTCTTTGCTCCTGTTCATTGTAGTGTTATTGACTTTTGTCTTTGATTGGACCATTGCTCATGATTCTTTGTTCATTTGTTAGGAGTTCGTAGAAGGCAGGAAGATGTTCTCGGTTGAGGCTAAAGAACAAGCTAGATTTCAATGCAAGGAGGACTGAAATACCATGAGAAATGATTAATACAAGTGTAGTTCATCAGTTGATTCGATCGTCTTTATAAGTATCTTACTAGTGTCAGTGCACGTTGGAACCTAAGTTATAGTTTAAAATTCATGGCCATGGCTACATACTTTTTGTCAGTGTTTGGTAGTTTTGTTGGACTTAGAGAACTGAAATTGGTTGAGGAGAAGAGTTTAAATTTGAAATGGCTATTCAGCCAATTTGAATTGGATGGGGCTGGCTGGCTGCTGGAACAGCTGCTTGGCTGGCTGGTTCAGCACCAGCTCCAGCCAGCCAATTCAAGCCTGCCGAATAGGCTGACTGTTGTTCTCCAACTTCCACCATCATCAGCTTCAAAAAAAAACTTCCACCATCATCTACAAAGATGACTTTTGCTCATTTTGATCAAGTCATACATGCCCAAACCTTTTTTTTTCTCTTGGTTTATTAGTAATGTTAGTTTGTTCAATTAGATGGTATTTCTTTTTCATCTTTTCGCGTTGCCAGAAAAAACCTCTTTCTAATAGTGTCCTTCCTTTTTTGTAATATAGTTTTGTTAAGAAGTAAATAGAAATGGCAAGAGTAAGCATATTTACTTAGGCCAGAGCTAGTCAAGATAGTCCTGTCCCCAATGGTAAAGGAACTACCTTGCCAGATATCCAACCTTTTCAACATTTTATTAGAGGGGTTAGGCAGTCCAAGATATGGAGCCCAAGCTCCTAATAAACCCTAGATACTTAGATGTCCACTATCCAATAGCACAATTGAACACATCAACATAGTAAACAGGTTTACCTATGTCATGATTGACCTAACAACCACACTTTTCGTAAACTTGATTTTGAGCCCAGACATGGCTTCATAGAATGATACAAGTAAAAAAAAAGTAAAGATAGAGGCAAATTTCCTGGTAAAATCATATAAGTAACTTGCAAAGCATTTTATATTCAAATAAGTGCTAGGAAAATTATAATATGATGGTTTTAGCTGTGAGGGACAGCTGCCGCGAGGGTTATATTCTAGCCCACCAAGCTAGCATCTTGAGTCATCCCCTCGATTGACGTGGTGCTAACTCATAACTAATATATACTCATTATGTTTCATAAATCATAAATATATTTCCTTAATGACTCATAACTAGTGATCTTTACAAATCATTTAAATTTATATTAATAACTAGGGCATAGAATTTATAAAAATATGTTATTTGTAGATAAATTTGTACATTTAACAAACACATTGGCATATATACATATATTGATAGTATAATCATAGAAAATTGAAACACGTTAAGAAATGGGAAAGGTTAGTGTAGACCAAAGGTGGTTATAACTACATGTTGTTTCGGATTCCTTTTGAGTAAACAATAATTATTTGGCTTAAGTATTAATATCTTCTTGAGGTTAACACTGCTATCTCATCTTAGATATCACTGCAAGGTCAACCACTGATCTTAAGTGACATGGTGCAAGTTCTAAATAACCATTATGCCATTATAATATTTAAGAGTGTAGTATGTGTCCTAAAATCATTATTTTGAATAAAACACAAAATGAGAGTTAATAAAAGATGCAATAAACACATGAGTTTCAGCTTAACTTGGGACTAAAAATTTGTAGCAACTAATAAGATTAAAATTTGAAAAGATAAAAATCTAGATTTATGGCATCATAAGATACATACTGCAAGAAGAGACACGGTCGATTAAGCTAGTGTTTGAACTAAATGCATATTCAAAATACACATAAGTGACTTGCATAAAGAAAAAAAAATGAATATAGGTAAAAAAAATCATATAGATTAACATACTTTTCACACCGGAAGCTCCAACCCCTTTTGATCCTTAGAATGTCTAGCGTAAAATAGAAGTTGTCCTGAGTCAATTGTGAATGCCAAAATAAGGAAGGATTCACATATAGTCAGGGTTCCCAATTGTGAGTGTCATATATAGAAATTTACTGTACACGGCTTGTATTTATCTCAAATCGAACCTTGACTATATGTGACGCATGTTATGATGATTAACGTACCTTGATGCTTGCATGATTGTACTGAACGATATTTTGATCGATTGAAATGTACGCGCCAGCGAATATCGACCCCATACTAGTGGTCAACGATTCCACAAACTAGACAACATTTCGTTAAACGACATAACATCTTTTTCAGTATCTTTCGTTCCATTCCACAAAGTCACGTTTCCGTAGCCCACCGGATTATCTCCCACCGGATTATCTCACTGTACTAATGAGACGAAGACGTATCTATATATGGACATATATTTCTATATCTACCTCACTAACCGGCAACATCCATGGCGTCTCATCACACGAATGTGGTATACCAATTATTCATGGATGCGACGACCACACCTCTAGCACAATGGCAATGGCTACTCTTGCTGCTCGTCCCTTGCGTGCTGCTGCTCCTACTCGCCTCCCGCCATCCCCTCCCCCGCAGCAACGACAAGCAGAGACGGCAGCTCCCGCTGTCCCATCCGGGACTGCCTATCATCGGCCACCTGCTCCTGGTCGGCGACCGTCCGCACGTCCCGTTCCGTGACCTCGCCGCCAAGCACTACGACCGTGGTGGCGGCGGCCTCATGCTCCTCCGCCTCGGCATGCTCCCGTACGCTAGCTTAGATCTGGACATCACTGTCAGTTCAAAAATTTCCTTCACTGTCGGATTTTGAACCGACAGACAGTGATATAGGGAGTTGACATCACTGTCGGTTCTTAAAAACCAACACTGATCTATAGACAACAGTGTCGGTCCCTGGCTCCACCCGACAGTGTCTAGTTGAACAACACTACCGGTTTGTAGTCTCAGCCGACAGTGCTGGTTGTTTCAAGAGCGTCGGTTCTTGCTCAAGCCAGCAGTGTTGAGCAAGCCTACACTGTCGGTTCATGGTTTAAGTCGGCAGTGTTGAGCAAGCCAATACTGTCGGTTCATGGCTCAAGCCGGTAGTGTTGAGCAAGCCAACACTGTCGGTTTGTTGCTAATCGGCAGTGGTGGTTACAACAACAATGCCGGTTTGTTGATAACTGGCAGTGATGGTTACGACAACACTGCCGGTTTGTTTCTAACCGACAGTGATGGCCCGTTCGCATTTTATTGTTTTATAATTTATTTTAATTTATATTTTTTCGTAGAACCGGGTTTCGCTTTATATACGCTACGTAGATGACAGGTCCATCAATATTAAACATTACAAATGTTACGGTTACAGTTCAAATGTTCTTATCAAGACCTCGATCACACTAGTACAGAACCGAGCTTTACTCCCGGTGGGGAACCCCCTCTAGTCCCGGTTCCCCACCCGGGAGCAAGCATCCGGGACTAAAGGGGGGGTCCTTTAGTCCCGGGTCAGGAACCGGGACTAAAGGAGGACCTTTAGTCCCGATGGGTAACACCAACCGGGACTAAAGGTGCCTCCTGACATGCCACGATGGCCGGCACCTTTAGTCCCGGTTGGTAATACGAACCGGGACTAAAGGTTTTTTTCTTTTTTCTTTTCTTTTCATTTTTTTGTTTTCTTTTCAAAATAGGTTTTCGAAGTCGTATTGTACGCTGCTAATTATACATTTATACGCGCATATAGTATGTTTCGGTCAAGCACAATGAACGTATTAAATCACACAATTCAATCATAGAAATATATATATATATATATATATATATATATATATGCATGCATGCATCATATATATATTTACATGCATGCATGCATATGTGTATTTTACATTATATTATTTCATGTGCATATATTACAAAAGATTGCATTATAGTTGTTGTGACATAACAAGTTTCTTCTCATCCTCTAGCTTGGCTTCAATGGCGGTGTTGGGTCAAGTAGAACTCGCCCTTGGAATCGATGACCTGCTCATTAAAAAATCCGCTATAGACTCTTGAATTGCTTTGATTTGGTCTTGCCGTATGACCTTTTCCTCCAACCATCGAGTCTCATGTGTTTGAATTAAAGGAAAATAAATTAATATATGTACATATATATATATATAAAGACATAGTAACACAATCAATAATAATAATTAAATGAATATATAGTGTATTTTAACGTGCTTTGAGTCTCTCTGTAGGAGTTCTTTGGGAGAGCACCTTGATAAACTTGCAAACATAGTAACCACAGTGGTTGTTCCCCTGTTCTGCCTTAGACACCACTTTCTTTACGAGAAAAAGATTTGTCATCCAATCTGGTGATCCGGTGAAAGCTATATGTTGAATTAATAAAGATGATGCGATTCAGGGACTTACTTTCAAAGGGATTACATTCGATGGCGCTTTGCATTTTTCCATGTGTTGCTTCTCAATAAAGGTTTTCCAAACACTTTGCCCAATAAAAATTTGCCACGTCATCGAGATATAGTTAATCATCATGTTTGTGTGTATATATAGTTGCTAGAGATCTCAAAATTACCTCTGGATAATATCTATCATATCTTGGTAGTCTTGTTGTGGTTTTCTCATCGAGTCATAGATTATCAAGTGACTTTTCACCGGATCGATGTCCATCAATATCCAAAGGATTGCTGCATGTGTTTATAGGATATAACGCATAACACTCATTAATTAACTAGAATCAACATATGAGCCATTAAGGCTATGATCGACATGATTAACACTCACTTGAAGTTATAGGAAAGAGTATATCCTTCTTGTGGCGTTGGTTCACTAAGAAGTTCATGAGGTTACTCTCTCGACTCGGACTTCCAATTAGTCATTGGAGTAATTGGGTCTTTGAATACTATATGGGGATCAACAAAACCAATTTCATTGCGACCTTCCTTTACGAGCTCTGTCATTGTAAATCTGCATATATATAGTACTTGTTAGGATAATTTATATGCATATACACACATATGATGAGTTTAATAATAGATCGAAAGAATTATTACTTACGAGGCAATAGCAGCTAATGATAACTTTGTCCGGAGAGGTCGGTGGCATAGTTGATGAAATTACGCAAAGTCAACATATATAACATCATCATCGCCACGGAACCAATGTTCGTCTCTAATTTCGACACCAACGCAGAAGTCTCCATTGGTAGACGCCTTGCATGTACCACTTGTTTAGCGGTACATTTGCGTCCCCGCATCGATAAGGCTTGAGGTTGTATAGACTCTGGCCTAGTACAAATTTTTTCTTCCAAATATCAACCTCCGCCGCACTCTCAATGTTTCCATCACCAAACATCTGGTAAAGGTCGAGACCAGTCTCATCAAGAAATTCACCAAGGTGATCCAAATCGACATCCGGAGGTATGTTTGCCTGATGCATTAATCCTAAATTCGAACCATATTCATTACCAACAACTAGCGGGGGATTGATTGAGTGCGCTTGTTGTCCGAGTTGGGCAACTCCTTTCCCCGCCCGCTTTTTTTACATGCGCCTCAATTGACTTGGTGAGAGTGCGGTCATAGTCTGATAACGTTGATTTGGACGGCTTACGAGATTCCCGCTGTTGATGCTGGTAAGAAATCACCTTTTTTCTTAAAATATCCGGAGCTACGAAGAAGTACGGTTTCTCTGGGTTTCTCCTTGCTTCTTGATTCATTTTAAGTTTGTCATAGAATCTAGACATGTCTTTTTTATATGCATCGCCTTCCTTCTTCCTTCTCTTGAGATATTATTTTGGGAATAACCCTTGGTTTCACGGTGGCTTTCTTTCTTTGCGTGAGGGGACCGGTTCTTCGTTTGAGGGGCTGACCTCTTGCTAGGCTTCTTGGTAGGCGGGGCGGGGAGGCGTTGGAGACCTCCTTGGAGGTGTTGGCAGCGGCGTTGGAGACCTCCTTGGAGGTGTTGGCAGCGGCGTTGGAGACCTCCTTGGAGGTGGCGGCTGCGGCGTTGGAGACCTCCTTGGAGAGGGTGTGGATGCAGCCTCGTCTTCCAACACAATGTCATCGTACAGAGCACTATGATGATCTGGCGATTGAACAATTGGATTTAGATTGGGGGAGGATCTGCTACAAAAAAAGGAATGACATATTATTATGAGCAGATTGTTAATTATTTAAGCCAATACAAATTAATGATGTAGTGTTTTCATCCGCACATACCTATGGTGAGGTAGTTCAGGAGGAGGTGGAGCCGACATCCCTGGAATGATGATGTAGCGCTTGCGCCATAGAATGAATGTCTTCTCCGCTTCTCCTAGAGTCTTCTCGCCATCACCTCCAGGAATGTCAAGAGGCAAATCACTAAAACCTTTTTCAGCTTTATCTACCGAGATGGTGGCATATCCTTCTTGGATTATATTCCCATGAATCCTTGGTGTCTTGGTTCGGTCGATAGGATTAACAAGACCGATAGCCACCTTGATTGTGGAATTCTCCTTCGGAATGTGTAGCTCACACGTTGTACAAGGTTCAGTGACGTCATCCACAGGGAAGCGCAGTCCTGTGTCCCCTTGATTTGGTATCTCCGTGGAAGCGCAGCTGCTTTTCAACTGAACAGATTGGCTAATGTTGATTCCTGGCTCTGATGCCTGCTTGCTTGCACTCACTGCTATTTGCACTTGCCTTTTGATTTCCTCCTGCATTCTCGCTTCAAGGTTTTTTTCCCGCTCCTGTGCTTCACGCACCGCTTCCTCCAACCTCTGGAGCCGGTGTGCCTCTTCTTCCTTCTTTCTCTGGCGACTTCTGTAGGAAGGTCTGTCCTGAGGGAATCCATGCTCCCACGAGACACTTCCTTTGCCTCTAGTTCGGCCACCATGTTCAATAGTCCCGATGGCGTATGTCAGCTCATCCTTCTCTCTGTTGGGCCTGAACGCACCACTAGCAGTAGCTCTCTGAGCATAAAGCAATCTTTCTGCTGCTTCTTGCAGTCTTGCGCCATAAACGCACTTCCCTGTCTCCTGGTCTAGTGTTCCCCCATGAGCGAAAAACCAATTCTTTGCACGTTCTCCCCACTCGAGTGATTCTGGTCTGATACCCTTGGCAAGAAGGTCTGCTTCCATTTTGTTCCACTTCTTAATGGCAGTCGGGTAGCCACCTGATCCCAAGGTATGGTGGTATGTCTTCTGTTGGGCATTATGTTGGTTCTTTATCACCCGACTCACACCCTCTTCCGAAGTCTTGTACTGTACAAACTCATCCCAATAGGGCCTCTGCTTTGAGATCGGGCCTGGGACAGTAAAATCTGGTGCTATGTTCTTCTTGACATACGTCGTGTATAGGTGTTTCTTCCAAGTCTGAAACTGGGTGGCCATCTTCTTCATTGCCCAATCCCTAACTCGCTCCTTCAATTCATCACCATCTATTATATCATCATAATCATCTGTTTGGAGCGTGAAATGTACCAAGACATCATTCCAAATTAACGCCTTGTCACGATCGGAGACAAAACTGATATGAGGAGCATTGGTCTTCTTCTTCCATTCACGGGTACTAATCGAGAGTCGGTCCCGTACAAAGGTAACCACAGTGGTGCACAAATTTCATTTTATTCGCCCCCCCCGGTTCTCCTGTATCCACATTGAACTCTGAGATGATGAAGCGACCCTCCAATGGCTTTTTGGGACCTCGAACATTTTTACTCTTCGTTGTAGTTGTTGATGTCGATCCAGAGGGCTACAAAACATAAACATTATTTTTAATGTCATGAGCACA